TAATTTGTATAGGTGCTAGTGGTTGCTACAACCGCAGCGACTGCTGCAAAGATCACAAGCGAACATGCTTGTGAATGAAAAAGGATGACCAGAATGTTATGTATCTATTTATTTTGTCATCCTTTCTATAAAATTTAAAAATTATAATTTATCTTATGATGATCATGGCATCCACAAATTAATATTGGCAATAATATAGCATTGTCCTGTTAATTTTGTATCGATCAGAATACAACCTTAATAGATTTTTGTTATAGATAGATTTATTTCTCCTGTTGCAAGGCACAGAAAAATATATGATAGCTTTAAGTTTCACACTATCCATATGTGATGGGGTTAATATCAAGCTCGTTAACTTCTTTTGAGGACCCACAAAAATATACTATTTTAATATCTCATTAAAGTCAGCATGAGCTAGTTGATGTCGTGTCAAAGATTGGTATGTCCATTAATGATTAAGACCGAGACCTCTCTTGATTTATACATGGCAGCTCTTGCTGTGGATTGCACTCGTATATGCGAATAGTTCGGGGTACTTTTCTTTTTATTAGATTAGATAACAAACTGTTCAATATTTTAGTTCACGGTGTGAATAGTTGGACCGACTGATCCGGGTTCTAATAATATTTTTTTCTGATCAAAACTACATCATCAACTTTGTCGTAAGAATATTTGTTTATATTAGGTAAAAGTCAATAATTTATCAAGAATTTAAAGACCCATATTACTATTTATTGTTTTTTATTATCTTTACGGAGATACTTCAGGAAATAGAAAAATCACGCTCAAGGGTGGCAACGGAGGGAACGTGTGCAACACTTTCCTCACTTAGAAGACACCACGAGCGGGAGACGCTAACGAGCACGGGAAAAACAGAGATGTAAACGGAAACGAAAAAAGATACGGAGAAAAACAAACGGAAAACACACTTTGATTTGTTGTCTCTTTATTTTTCCTATTTAAATTAAGATTCATATTCACCTAAAATCGGAGAGATTTAATTGGATTAGGATTTCTAGTTATATAAAGAGAAGGGCTATAGGTGATTTTCCACATTCACAAAGTTAGTTAAGGGATGGTCGGACAAAAAAATTGGTGAAAAGAAATTTTAGCTCTTTATTATTATGTATAGATATAGATATAGATTGGTCAAAATTAAAAAAATATTGACTTCTTAATAAGCGAGAACAACTTCTATATAAATTTAGGAACGGAGTGAGTAAGTAGTAACGGCAGGAGGGGCATGGGTTGGTAGATCCAACTTATACTCCACCCCATAAAAAATACGTACAAATCTTTACATTTTAAGAACAAATCATCATAGGACAATAAAAATGGCGCATGTGGCCCCTGTTACTTTCATTCCCTCCGTATATGTTGGTTGGACCAAGGTAAATGAATACATTCATAAAATATGTATTTTATTGTCTGATACATGGCGAATTATACTCCGAGGCATTGAACTAGTAAAGAAAGTGATGATTTGGCCAGTGGGTGATGGCCGAAATCAGCCAGCTAGAAAACAGTGTTTTTCTCTCACAACTAATCAGGCATAAAATCATCTGAAACCAAAATATGTCTTGCCGACCAGAGCCTAAACATTTGGTCTGATCCATGGTTCATGGTTGGCAAGGGATTGAGCACGGGTTATATATATAAGTGTGGACAGAAAAAACTCTCCATTGTCCGGTAGTTAAAAGGAAGACGGACCAAAAAAATGGATGGACGAAAAATGACCGAAAATTTTGTCTCTTTATTATGTACTAGCAAATATGTCCGAGCGTTGCAATGGGAGAGAAAAAAATACCAAACTTTAATGAAAATTATGTTGAGATATTGCATACGGTGCGTTGCAACATGAAAAAAAAACTGTAAAATATTCACGAGAAGTAACGACTGAAACGATACGTGTCTCAAAAACTGCCATGTCTAATAGCTATGATAGCAGACCTCCATCGATTTTGCACATTAGACTGGAACGTACAACAAACCGTTTAAAATTTGAGTTTACCTTTGATTAATTGGATCGCCATCTAAACCAGGTTATAATAAGTTTTGATCTAATCAAAACTACATTGATAATATTATATTATTATTTGTTTTAAACATTTATATGTACGTTGTAACTGCAGAAAAATATATTACATTTCAAGATAAATACGTACCATGATTGCTGACAGGCTGTACGTTATCACTTCGGTCTTGTTTAGATGCATGTGTATCCATTTCGATTCATATTGAAGTGGATTGGAACGAAACTTTAATTCCACACCAAACCCCTTCAACACACGTGGATTGAGATCAATACATGCGTATCCTAACAAAGTCTTCATTGTGACGCCCTACATATGCAGTATTGTTAATAAACAGCCTGTTCGCTTGCTCGTATCTGGCTTATAAGTCATAGCTTATCAGCCAACGAACAGTATTTTTCCTCTCACACTAAACCAACCAATAGTACTTTCAGCCATGGCTTATAAGCCAAACTAGCCCAAACGAACAGGACGAAAGACCAATCAGCCTGTTCGGTTGGTGCTGATACGATCGTATACGATCGTGGATTATTCCTACTGGCTGATTTGGTGTGAGAGAAAAATATTATTCTGGTTAAAAATTTACGATCGTTTACGACCAAGCGAACAAGCCGAATGCTAACTTATATTAAAAAATAATTATAATCATATGCTACATTTAATGGTAATAAAGTATTCAACGGCAGGGGTTTCACTTGAACTCACTGTACCGGCGGGTGTGGAGGAGATCGGTGTATCAACTTTCTTTTCCACGTTTGTGCGACCCACTCAACAGGACAACGTTATCTTCCTGTCCTCGCCAGACGCCTCTCATCCATATCCATCCATGACAGCTGACCAGGCTAGCTAGAAGCGCCAATCCACGGGGAAGCAGGGAGCCTGCACTGGCGAGTGGCGACCAGCACGCGAAAGAGGGTGCTCGGCGAAGTCTGCTTCCGTATCCGGACGTGTGGGTTGCTAAGGGATCGGGCGACTCTAGCATGCTGATCCAGTGAGAGGACACCAAGAGCTAGGCCCCCTGTTATCTATTCTTCTGTTGCCGGTACCATCAGCGCCGAGGCAAGGGGCGTCGATGCCGCAGTCGCCTGATCAAGTGAGGCGCGTCCATTCGCCCCTTGCCAAAGCCAGCGACGCTGGTGCCAGGGCTTTGGCCGGTGGGGCGCTTGAGAGGTGCCTGGCTCTCTGACTCCATCGCTCTTTTTCCATAGCCAGCGAGCCAGCGGCGCACCTGAATCTATATTGTTCTCCGATGAATTTGATTGTTTTTTATGAATTTTTGTGATTTTTGGCGTTACAAGCAGAAGGGACTTCTTATTATTATATAGGAAACGGAGGCAGATCCAAAGGAAAATTGTGTGCTCCTTTTACGATTCGATTTGTAATTCTTTTTTTATTTGAATTGGAGTTTCTACCGAAGTCTCCTTCCTTGCTTTCCCTATTTTTTTGTGCTGTGTATGGGTTGTACACGAACGCGTGTCGACGATTAAGGATGAAAACGGAACGGAAATATGCTGAACCAAACTGCATCGTTTTCTATATTTAATCCGATCGAATCCGTATTTTCTTGTCCGACTTTATCGTTTTCGCTTTCGCATTTGAGATGTTTCATATTTCAAATGTAAAAATAGAAAACGGTTTACACATTTTTCGACCGTTTTCTACTTTTCTACTTTTAATTTGAAATATTCCGAATTCAAAATTCGGTTTAAACCGAATTTGGCCAACTGCACAGGTCATACAGCCCAATTACAGGCTGCTCACCACGCAACTGCGTTCTTTCTACTGGTAGCTAGCTGCCCTCTCTTATAGACGGCGTCCAGCCTCATCTCTCTTATTATGTATTTGGTCGTGTACTTATTTAATGCTATACACTTGAACTAGATCATACACTTGTTAGTTGTGAACTTGTTATATATTTGGTCGTGCACTTGTTTAATGCTATGCACTGTGGGTCGGTATTTCGTATTGAATTTCCACATACCGACCGTGTTCGACATAATTCCGCTCGAATTGGTTCGTTTCCAAAATTCTAGATATTCCGTAAGTTCGTGTTCGTTTTCGTGTCCGGCTTGTCCGCTTTCGCTTTCGCTTTCGTATTTCAAATGTAAAAGTAGAAAACGGTTTAGGAGTTTTTCGACCGAGTTCGACCGTTTTCATCCTTATCGACGGTATGCCCATCGGCGTCCATGCCGGCGTCGGATGCGACGCGCTGCACGGACACGTAGGAGGCATGCAGCGGAGTCGTGCGTGGCGGCGGCGGCCTCGGGTGCGGATAAGGACAACACAGGCGCTCCCGTGTGCCGGGCACTCGGATCTCCGGTAGCCACTTGCCCCACGCCCGCCGCCGCACGCTACTGTACCGGCAACGCCGCTCCACAACTCTCCTGGCGCCGCCGCACGGGTCATCGTCGACCGACCATCCAGATTGGAGCTAAGCTGGGCGATCCTGCCGGCCACCGGCGGGGGAGGGTGCGCGGCCGACGGCGAGCGCAGGCCGCCGACCGCCGGGAGACCGACGCAGCCCTGCTGACAGACGGGAGCCGAGAGGAGCATGGTCGGCCAGATGGTTTTTTTAATCGGAGAGAAGTCCTGAGTAGTCCATGTGAGCGAATGGGCCACATGTTGGGCCAAAATGAGTGGGTTGCAGGACTGTTGGGCCAAATTAAATGGGCTGGACGAAAAAAATTGACCTAAAATTTTGCCTTTTTAGTATTCCTAGCAAATATGCCCGTGCGTTGCAACAGGAGAAAAAAATCAAATATAACTCATTGCCGATAATTTTTTGCTCTTTAATATTTAACGAGATAGTATCTCCGGTCCAGTATTTCATAAATTTGAGCATAAATTGCCCACAAGATGAACTGAATGATTAAAACAACATTTAGTATACTCGACATAAAAAAAACAAATCCACTTATATAGTATAAACAGAACATAAAATGAGTTGTAAAGTGTAAAGTTATAGAACTACCTGTCTTTTTTAATTGGTTCGCGTAGTTGTTCTGTGACAGGCCATTTAGTAACTTGGAGATCTTTCCAATTATGGTTTCTCAAGTTTTTTTGACTTTCAAGAATGTCCAAATGATACTGCAACCCTTGTAGCTGCAATAGTAATGGAATTATTAGCGATTAAAAATCATTTCAAAAATATATATAAAGAGGTATTGAAGCTATAGAAACTGACCATAATAGTGAGGTCGGCACGGTTGAATTCCCAACACAAAGAGTCAAGTACTTGTATCTCATACTTTTGTGAATTGATGACAGCTAAATACCAATGTGTGTCTTTGATATTTACTGGAAGCAAAATCTATAATAATAGTAGTTGAAAAAAATTAACATTAGGGACAACAAAAATCTATTAATTAAAACTAAAAAATGACAATGTTGATAGATGTTACCATTTCATGCTTAAGATAGTTTCTGACAATCTCCGTAATAAAATTACCATCTTCATGTACTCCAATGTTGCCATCCCTTTTTAACAGTCCAGTGATAAAGGGGTTCTCCAAACATATTTTAGCATCATCCATGTTTTGCATATGAAGTTGATCCCTTATACAACATATATATGCGCTGATTACCTACTAAGAAAAAATACAATAAAAAGAGAGATTAAGAATGAGAAAATATGTCCTTCCAATACGGTGTACTTACATCATCGTTTAACCATTGGCTTTGGTCTAGGAGGCACAATAATTGATGTTGTTTAACACATATTTCATCCATCTTCACCAGTATATCGTTTTCAAAAGATGTTTCAATCATTATTTGAGCACATATGTCCAGATTGGTCATTGTATAATCTGCAAATAGTGAAATATGTGTCATATAAATTGAATAACTATAGACAGTTTGGCTGAATATCATAATGCCTTATTATATATAGAAAAGGCTAGACAAAAAAGTGTAAATGTAATAATAAATGAAAAAACCTTGTGGGAGATAGTCATATGTAGAAACTTTGTTCTGTTTATACTCCTCTAACTGTTTTTCATCATCTATTAATTCTGCCATCTGCTTATCTACAATTTAAGAAACAATTTAAGAAATTAGGGATACATGAATCAGTATTACAATGAAAAGGATAGATGACACAAAAGTACATATAGATGACAAATTTACCTTGTGGGACATAATATGTATCAACTTTGATCTGTTTGTCTTCTTGTAATTGCTGATCATCATCTATTTCACACGCTTGCTTATCTTCCAATTCAATAATTGGAGATAATTTCTGGATGCTTGGAGATGCAGGTGAAGGTATTGGATCACTATTCAACTTTCTATCTGAATCCAAAAATTCTGGTTCAGAACATTTAATTTTCTTTGAGGGTCGATTATCAAAATCCTCGACAGCACTTGATTCATCAATATGATCCATTATCTGAAAAAACAGCAATAAACAAAATATTTAAGTCAAGTATGTTTGCAGCAATAACCAAACCAGAAAAAAAAACAAATTTCACATATTACAATGAAATCACGTATTGGCCAGCAATAACCAAACCATAAAGGAAGCTAACCTTGTCAAACATGTGTCTGGCGAGACGATTGCTCAGCTCGTCGAGATAAGAATTCGAAGTTGACGTGTCTACAGCGTGATGAGGTGCTCGGTGTCTACAGCAAGATCAGGTGCTCGGCGAGGCGCTTCTTTGCTCGGCGAGATCAGGTACTTGTTGTGCTTGTCGAGGTTATCCCAAAGGCACCAGCATTATATAAGTACGAAAAAAACCAGATCGAATTCGAGTCGGACGTGGAGTTCGTAACTTACCATGGATTTGATTTCTCGATTTGATTAGAATCCAATTCCGATCGGATTCCGACTCCATCGGCCAACACGGCGGCGCCTGCAACTCGAAGAATGTGGAAGCTGGGCAGCCGGGATAGGAAGGTGGAAGGCCCGGATCTGGACGCGCGTGTGGCCGTGCCGGCCGGCCTACGTGGCCGCGTGGTCCGTCCGGGAACGGCCAGGACGGCCGGGCGGACGGCAGCCTGCTACGTCCGGGACGAGCGGACGGCCGGACGGCAGGATTATTGGAGAAGGAAGAAAAAAATCCTAGAAAAAAGGAAAAAAGGAGCAACCTGAATCGAACACATCACGGAGAAGCAAGTCGATTCCGTCCGGACACCTGAGACAAAGACGGATGTGCCTCGCGTGCGAGGTCCGGCAAGCAGCGACGCCAGAGGATGGAGCAGGGCCATGGACGGCTGGCGGCGGCCGGGAGGCCGACGCAGATGTGCCGGCCGCCAGGAGGCCGAGGCAGATGGGCGCGGCGGGGGATGGCGCGGGGCCGTGGACGGCGAGCGTCGGCCGCGCCGGAAGGAGCGGCGGTGGCGGCTCCACTCGCTGGAGCGGCGCCGGCGGGGAGGAACGACGGCGACGCTGGCGAGCGAGCGGAGCATGTGCTCGTGCGAGAAGCCGAGCGGCGGACGGTGCGGGGAGAGGCGAGCGAGGCGTGCGGCCAAGTGTAGAAGGCGAGTGGGCCGGACGGAGTGATTGGGCCGGGACGGTTGGGCCGAATTGAATGGGCTGGACGAAAAAAAAACGTCTGAAATTTTACCTTTTTATTATTAAATAGGGATAGATTAGTATTAGTATTAGGTATAGGTATAGATAAATAAAGGTTATATGTGTGTAAAATTACACGTCTCTTCCACCCAAAGGCATCATCGAGGTTTTCGTCAGACCGGATCGGAGGCGGCCGACCTTCCCTCCCCTGTTGTTCTTTTTGTCCCATTCAACCAGTTTTTGGCCCATGAAGTTCAAGTTTTGGCCCACTAAGTTGGAGCTCGGTCCAATCAACCAGCATTCAGCCCACAAACTAGGAGTTCGGTTCGTTTTCTGCAAAAATTGTTTTATGGGCACAGAACATTAGTTTTTGGCTTATGCTTTCTTTCTTTCTTTTCCCCTCCATTGCATGACTATTTTTTTCTTTCCTTTCTATTTTCCGCTTTATTTGTTATGTTTTTTATTTCCATTTACTCTTTATTTTTATTTATCTATCGTTATGGTACATTTCTAAGTAATCATGAGATGTTATACAGTGTGTTTAGGATTGCTCGTGTATTATGGATGACATGTTTCATGGTGCATTTCTATTGTTGCTATAGCATTCATGAGATGTTCGATTATGTGTTTTTTTTATTGTTCCCTTCATGACGTTTTCATTATATTCACGAGATGTCCCGTTGTATATTTTGTATTGGTCCGATAATATTCATTATATATTCCATGGTGTATCTTTATATTTTGTTTTAGTTTTTATTAATTTTATTTTCTACTTTGTTTTTGTTATTATTTTATTTCCTATTTTAAATATATATTTCATAGTGTTTTTCTGTTATGGTGATGTTCACTTTAACTATTTTTTCTATAATATAATAAGATTGTTCACAACGAATTGAATAAATCTTGGTCAGATAGATCTGTGTATGTGCATTTAGGGCTTATTTGGTTGCTACCCTACCGTCCTGGTTTCATCTAACGCCTCAGTCCTTGCCAAGACATCAACAATTCTGAGTCCAAACAATTATGACATGTTTGCTTACAAACCTTGAGAACCAGAAGCATACTCCGCGCCTTGCTACGAGAGTTGCTACGAGAATTACGGATGAATTAGAATAAGATTAGACTAAATTACTTATATGAAGGGCTAAACTATTATAAATTGATGGTAGTGAATGACGTGGCATACTAATGACAACAATTAAATGTATGCGATAGTGAACTGCTAAGGTGAACTACTTGTATGTAAAGATTGGCTAGTGGGGTTTAGTATTATAGATATATAGATATAGAGATGGATATTAGATATAGATAGATCTGCCAGGCACCGCGCAAACAAGCAACCCCCACCAGATACACGATTTCGTTGGCCTGGAGTTGGAATCACTGCTTGCATTGGGCAGGCAGCTGCCTGACAGACAGAATCCAAAACATGCTCTTATTAGCCCCGCGCCCCCGCAGCATCAGCGAGTCATTGACAAGCAAAAGACAATGGGAGACTTGGGAGTGCAAAAGAGTATAGGAGTGTTCGGGTGGTAACCTGCCCAAACAGCTGCGGCCGGGCAGCAATCCAAACCTCAGGCCGGCGAATCCGGATTTGCTGCTTGGAGTCTTGGACTAGACAGCTGCTTTGTCAGGTTCCCAACCAAACAAGCTCTATGCTTTTCAGATAGTTTAGTACAGCGAGGTCAATGATGAGCTTCCTCAAACGAGCTTCACGATGGATTAGTGGTAGTATATATATAGTACTCCCTAGTTGAATTGCCTCTTCTTTCTTGCCTCGTCTTGTCTTCACCTCGAGCCTAGCAAAAACTACCCGATCGAGCAGCAGTGCACGTGCATCCTCATTGACCAACGAACATCCAGGAATGCGAATTTGTCGGCGATGCCTACATGCAATTCATAGCACGCACCACCTCTTCCCGTTTTCCCTTTCCCTTTCATTTGTTTTGCGTTTGTATATATATAAATTTTGGCTGTCATCACGTCGTCAGAATCGGTGAAAACTGCTCATGTCTCCGCCGACGATCCCACCTGCCTTGTCCTCCAGATGACGGGCGCGATCATCATCCATACTGCATATATACGACAAGTGCAAGCAAGCATTCATTCGTCCGGTCGTCAGTAAGCAGAACACAGCCCGCGCATGGCGGCGAAGAAGGGGCAAGTTCAGGTCACTTACTGTAAACGATTGCCGCCAGCCACTCGTTGCCGATACGAACCCACGTGCTCGCCCACCCGACGTCGATCGTCCACCTGCGGCGGCGGATATCGATCATGACATGAGACCATATTCAGTGGATTATATTCAGAGTGAGTGAGTTTTTCTGTCTTCTCCGGTTCTCCCTTCTGAAATCTGACCTCACTTACCTCTCCATGGTGTGGCTCGCGTTCCAGCCGACGAAGATCATGGCGAAGTACATGGCGCCCATGGCGAACACCAGGTGGAAGAAGCCGAAGCCGTAGGGGATGTCGTCCTCCTCCGACTCCCCCTCCGCCTGCTTGAACTGCGAGTTTGTTTGTTCGTTCGTGCCATACGTTTCAGTGCTCAGACTTTCAGGTATGATCAGTTGGTTCAGTCTTCAGCTGAAATGAGAGTTGAGAGCACGCACCTGGATGCACTTGGAGTCGATTCCCGTCGAGAAGGTCGCCGCCACGATGACGATGACGGCGATCACAAAGCTCTGCCAGAGAGAGAGACACACACCTCTTGTCAGTCACATGGCGATTCGTCAGACTAGTTTGTAACTGAACTTTTTTGGCTACTTTTTTTACCGCGATGTTCACCCAGTCTGCGCTCGTGGCAACTGCCGCCTTCCTGTTGCAAACCTCCGTGTGCGGCTCACTGTTGTTGTTTTTTTTAGGGAAAAAAAGAGATGAGTCATGAAGGAATCGTACTACTGATTAATTTCAGATGCAGTCACTGTATACACAGCACACAGGCAGGATTTCAGAACCCGTCGATCTCACCTTCTGATCGCTGACCAGCACAGGAACACGACGTAGATCCCCATCAGCCCCGGCGCCAGGTACCCTGCCTTCACCTGTTTCGTTCATGCAAGGGGCAACAACCAACAAACAAGATTCGATCAGCCTGCATTTCCAAACCCCATCTGTGAATGATGAATGAACGCCATTTTCAGAGCATGGATGTACGTGTTTGCTTGCCTTGGAGCTCATGGAGACGAAGGTCATGAGCTGCACGAGCACCAGCGTGACGGTGATGAAGAGGATGTTGAGCTTGCAGGACGGGCTTGGCGCGTACCACACGTACATGAGCACGATCCCCAGCAGCGACCCCACGTACGTGACGATGGACACCACCTGAATCTGCAAGTGGCTGCATGCACATTTCGCAACAGGACGGACGGTGACCATGCGTCCATGATAGCCAGGTACTGTAAAAATGCAAGAGCAGCAGCTGCAGCATGCATGGGCTGGGCAGCAGCAGGCTAGCAGGCAGCAGCAGAGAGCACGATCGTATCGAGCAGTGACAGTGAACCTACCATCTCTTCTGGGTGATCTCTGACCGGCACCAGTCGTTGAGCCACATGATGAACCTGGTGACGCTGATGAGCTGGATCACCAGGAACGCCCTGCTTGCGATTTCATTCATTCAGAGGCAAGTTCATTAGGACATGATTATTATATAATCTATGGAGGAACGAATCGGCGCTAGCCTGGATGCTGAGCTGAAGAACACGAAACGTACCCTGCTCCGAAATGCGCCACCTTCCCTGTTCAGAGGAACGGAACGGATCGAACGCCCCAGCATCGTCAGCAAGATAAAAAAAAAAAAAGCTGTATATATCTGGATGGAAACACACATGATCGACGGGAGTAGGTACTGACCATAGAGCTGGACGAGCGGCGACGGCGCGAGGAAGGTGACGGCGGTGAGGCCGAGCCAGAGGACGAGCTTGGCCGGCCACCACTCGGAGTGCCACGAGTTCCGGAAGTCGTGCACCTTCCGCGTGTTCACGGTGGACAGGAACATGACGAAGAAGAAGAGGAAGCAGCCGAGGCTGATCCGCAGCACGCCCTCGGCGCCCAGGCAGTAGCGCGCGCCCTGGCAGACCTTGAGCCCTGCACGCGCACGCCATGGTCAGGTCGAGACGGCTATAGGCATGTCGATCGGTGGCATGCAGTGCGCGTGATGCGCGCGTGCGTGCACAGGCATGATCGAAGAATGGGTACGCACGCTGGAGCTCGGCGAGCGCGGAGTTGCCGTAGTCGCGGAGGGTCCAGGCGAGGAGGTTGGTGACGAGGAAGATGAGCGCGTACAGGTAGCGCGCCATCATCGGGTTGGGCCCCAGGAAGAGCCCCGCGCAGGCGCAGCAGCACCAGTCCTCCGTGAACCGCGCGCGCCTCCCGTTGTGCTCACCACCGCCGGCCTCCATGTCGTCGGCCACGGCGCCAAGCGTCATCTATACGGCCCCCGATCAAGAACTTAACACCACCGCCCGCTGCTCTCCTTTCCTTTTCCTGCACACATACAACGACGGGACACAGAGAGAGGTAATCAGGTAAACAAAGATTAATCCAGACAAAAAAACAAGAGGAGATTTGTTCACACGCAAGGGGCGTGATGCGTCTGAGCTCGTACTAGTTCGTTACGTACGTCTCGCTCGACTGACATCACATCCCTCGTCGCTGGCGGTCGAAAACGATGTGTTTCTTTGCGCCAAAGCATGGGCATGCATCGCCCTAAAGACCTGCTTTGTTCTTGCCTTGCTTTGTGGGCAACACCACCGCCCAGTTTCGGCACTGTGCACTGTAGTATATGCATGCTAGCTACATCCTACTAGCCATATGTATTCCTGCTTCCTATTTGTGGCAGCATATAACTTACTGCCAGTAATGCCACTGATAACTAGCTAGTGCTATATATGTGAGCTGGGCACTTAGGTAGGCTGAGCCTAACAGTTATACTAGGTTCCAAGAAACGGTGCCGTTTTCCCCATGAACGCTAGCTAGTATCATTTTCCTTGGAACAGTGCTTGCAATCAACTATTGCATTGCGTGTTCAAATCCAGATGCTATTCTGATTGAAGAGCTTAAGTTCCTAGTCAGTTTCAATTTTTAATGAGTTTGCTTGTAATCACTTAGGTAGAGCTGGCAATAGAGCTGCCCATGCTTTGGCTGCTTTAGGTTATTGGTGCATCAAAAGGGAGGAGCTTATCACAAGTTCCATTCCGGATGATGTCTAACGATTTGTCAATTGAGTAATGAATCAGTTTCAAAAAAAAACGTCAAAAGGTTCCCTCCAGAGTCCAGAGCCTTGCAATTTTGCAAAGCACTGGAAAAGGCTAGCAAGAGCCTGAATTCACCGCCTTGACAGGGATAGTTTTGACGCAAAGAGGTGAAAGGCATTTGAAAGAAAAGGAGTGCGTGTGACGGGACGACCGGATAACATGAACACATATGCGCAATACCCGGAAAAATATAAATCAGCAGAGCAGAGAGCTTGGCTTTGGAGTGGGATTACGGTTAAAGAGGCGGGAACGAAAGCGCCGTGGACTGCCGGAGAGGATACACACATGGCTTTTCTGTGACTGTCACACAGAGCGCTTTGGATGTTTGTAGGGAAAAAAATGAAAAGAGCAGATTAAAGCGGTAGGCAGCAGGCAAAGCATTTGGATGATGATTGTGGAATGGAATAAAGCAAAGGAGCCTGAATTCCTTGATGAATGGTAGTAGTAGTGTTGGGGTTGTTTTCTCCCTTTTTTCCTGGCGCAACTATGCATGCAAGTGAAGTTATTCCTGCAGTTTTCATTTAGGTAGCTAGTAAATAAATTTTGTTTTTGGTAGCTAGGGTACGTTGCGTAAAGTCTGTAATGATCTAGTCTAGTACTTAAAGTATAGGTATTAATAAGTTCTCCGTGTGAACTTTTTTTCTCTTGCTGCGTTTTTACCAACTACTGTTAATCAGAATTCACCAACTGAAAGAAAAGTCACACAGCTCCGCCCTCAGCAGTTGTATGAGAAACTGAGAGCAGGAGAGAGAGGAGGGGTCATGTCATATTTTTGGGCAGTAGTAGTCAGCGCACATATCCGACTGCATGCTTTTTCCTTTTCTCTGTAGAGCATATCCTGATCTTGGATTGTTGGCAAAAAGGAACATGGCTTACTCTATACGTACAAAAATTCAGTTAATCGTCTAATCAACAGCAACTACGTACGTACGTACGTATACAACCAACAGACACAACGTGCGTGTTTCCTAAACTTTCAAGAAACCCGGTCGAATATCACAAGGATCCATCTATGTCGACAGAGAAATGCTACTGACGATGATCCAGTTCATTTTTCTTCTAACGAAAAGGAACCATCATCAAGGAAGAACAACAAGCACAGCTGATGCTGATCGAATTCAACACACACCTTAGAGGTAGAGATCAGCTAGCACGCAGGTCGGTCGGTCGTCGTCACCGCATTTCCATCCGGTTCATGATCCGAATCCGGTCGCTTGCTCGAGGCAGCTGCAAGAAACAACAAATGTCGCCCGGCGGGGGCGGGCAAGAAATCTAGGTTAATTATGATTCAAGCAACACATCTACGATATGATGCGGCGTGCCGGCGTGTGGGTTGCACCCCCGACCACGGAAAGCGAAGAGCCTAGAGAAATGATAGCGCGCCGCGCTTGCGTACACCGCCATAACGACGGAGCCGACAAGGGAGCAGGCGGTTATTGGCGTCGTAACACACAAGCTCGCAGGAAGAAGCAGCAGATCGATCATGAAGCAACGACGACGACGACTCACCTGATGATGATGTGCCAGCAATGGACAAGCCCCGGCCTGGTAGTAGATAGCTAGCTAGCTAGCTAGTCTACCTGGAGGCGCGGGCGTCCACTGCGGCCACCAGTGGCCGGCCTTCACCGAGGAGGAGGGAGGAGGAGGAAGGAGGAGGAGGAGTTGCTGGGTGCGGCGGGAGAGGTGGTGGATGCGGGAGCGAGGAGAGCGAATAAGGGAGGAGAGGAAGAGGCGGTGGTGGTGGTGGTCGCGGCGGTGGCTCCTGGCTCCTTTGTTCCGCGCCGCAAGGGAGCGTGGCGCCGGTCCGGCTCGGCCGCTCGGGCTCGGCGTCGTGTGCTGCTGCGTATCACAAACCAGATTCTCAGAAGGCCTGCTTGTGCTGTGCGGTGCGGTGGTCTGCGGTGCCGCCGGGCGGTCTCTGTCCGTGTCCGTTGTTGTAGGCCTGTAGCGCATCCTTTGAGTGGAGCGAGTGAAATCAATCCTGGTGTGGCTGCCAAGTGTTGGGTCCCAACCTTCCACTGGCTTAATTTCCGTTGCGTTACATGTGGCTCCCGCCGGCCGGCCGCCGGTGAATACCGTACCGAACAGTCGCAACGAATTTTATTTTGTTTGGCTTCAAGGCAGCCATGTCGTAGTTTGGAAGAGAGATTTCTGGTGTTCCGGTACTGGACAAGGTTACATTCAGTAAATTTGGAGTTTTGTTGTTCCAGACACAAAAAAACTCCTGCGAATTTTTTGAATAAAAATTCTCGCGAGCGACCGAGTTCAGCATTTTGGTAGAAGCCGCATCATTTTCTGAGGGCTTTCAGTTTGGAGGCGGATCTTTTTCTGCCCCGTCGGTGACGAGCAGTCGAGCACCGACCGATCGCGCTCTGGCTCTGGGTTCTCGATCTGCTACCGAGCGCGCACCGCACCAACGCCTCCACCACCACCCATCACTCGCGCAGCCTTTCGCCGCTGCCGCCTGTCCGTACGTGCTCGGTTTACGGCTCCCTGCTGCTACTAGCCTACTGTGGCCACGGGCTGGCGTGCCGGCCGGCAGGTGGTGCTCCACTCCACTGTCCACTCGCAGACTCGCTCATCATCACACCGGCCGATCCCGCTCCGGCGCAGCGGATCGGGACGGAAGACGCGCGTCTCTGGTGCCAGCGCCGGTCCTATGATTTCGAGGTCCCTCTTGTCGATTCGTTGCGACCACTCCTCTAAACCATATATAAAATCTTAGAATATATAGACACTAATTTTATTTATAAAACGAAAGCAAATTCAATAATGTATTTTTAATTTAACATGTCTGATAATTATGGAGAAAAAGATGACTATATGAGTACATAGTATTATAAATCGGGAATACTATACAAATAATTAATTTAGATTAAAAAATGAACAAAGAAAAAATACCTAGGACCTGGACATGAACTGAAATAACGGATCGGCGATCTCAATTGGCAAGAAGGCAAGAACCAAGATGTCATCGTCGTGGAGGTGGAGCCCTGCCCGGTCGCCGTCGTCGTGCGCCGTTCTCTGGCAGTCCAGCTCTCCGTGGTGGCGTGGCTCGTCGCCGCCTCGCCGGCTCCATGTGACAGCGTGTGTGCGTAGGGCGTCGGCGCGTGACGCGAACTCGCGAGTCGTGATCGCGATTAGAGTGCGGCGTGGCTCCTTGCCTCATCTCAGCGTCGTGGTGAAAACTGGGAAAGAAAGCTAGAAAGGCCGACGATCTTCTTGGGCTGGCTGGTCAGTTCTCTACTTCTCTTCTTATTAGTTTGCTGATGCCTAATGGACTATAGGGTTTGAGGGTTTGTATACCTGAGTTTAGGCTCCTTTCTCGCCTAGGCCCTCGACCGTCGCACCCCGTGCCCCTCCCTAGGGCCGGCACTGTCTGGTGGAGAGTGGATGTGGATGTGGATGCATGCATGCAGATGCCGAAGCAGTTGTGGACCACGGAAAGGAAAGGAAAGGACGACCGTGTCAGGGAGGCTTATGACATCAAATAAATATACTATAAAAATACAATTGACGAAGAGTCTAATGATGCTTAGTTGACACTATAAATATTATTATCTTATCATATAAATTTGGTTAAACTTAAGATGCTTTACCTCTCCAAGATTCTTAAAATAACTTAAAATTAGGAATGGAGTATATAAGTAACTTGTGTGCCAGGTTGAACACGCCCATCTTGTACGGTGTCAACAGAGGAAGAGTCAGCTCCATCTCCTTCTCCATCCCTCGCAGTCGCAGAGGTTGCCCACAGCCGGCTAAACAGATGCTGATCTACGATGTTGGTGGTAACTTCGTGTGGCGCCAGCTGCGTGTGCTGGGCATCAGCTGCACCCATATTTTGTAGAGCGGTGCTGCGCGCCGTAGGAAGCGGCGGAGGTGTACTTGTCTTGTCTTACTGCAGGTTCCGTTCATACCAGAAGACAGCAGCCTGGTCGTCGATGCACCATCTGAGGACTAACTACGTGTCACCTGATCTGTCATCCATCAGAATTCAGAACCGTACGTCGAACAGCTGGGGTGGATGATTTAGCACGCAATTAAAACGGGCAAGAAGAAATGCTATGTTCGCTTGGCTTATAAGCCATACTTTTTCAGTCAACAAATAATATTCTTCTCTCACAGTAAATCAGCCAACGGTATTTTCAATCATGGCAAGCAAACCGGCATTA